ACTTCATTTTCAGAATTGAGTTTTGAGTTGATTTGACTCATTTTTCAAAATGAATGATTTGGATGTTGTTATTTTCATAATCTTATTGTGATTACTTGATTGAAGCAAATTGTGTGGGTTTAGACATTGTTCATAAAGGAAAGGTTGAAGTCTTGGATTGACTTTTGATTTAATTAAGGCAAATGATTTTTAATCCTTGTAAAACTAGTAGAATCGTGTGTTTCCTTCATTGTGTGTGTTGGGAAGTAATGAAAATGAGATAATGTGTTCAATTATTTCACTTGATTGATCTAATGAAAAAGACAACATGTTGATAATTATCTTTTGTGAATTGTCTTGTTGTGGACCTAAACTGTTGATTGATGAAATGTTTTGATGACAATATTGAGGATTTGAATTGCTTGAGTTATTATCTCTGCCTTGTGGTGTGAATTGCTTATTTATATTGATTTATGTGTATCATGAAGAGACATAGACATGTGATGATTATGTTGAAGGAAATGGTTTCAACTAGTGACATTATATAAAATCGAAGGCAAGTGCTTCTGACTAGTGATACTGATGCCGAGGTCATTGTCGGTAAGTATTATTATAGCCAATGTCATTGTCAGCAAGTGTAATTGATGACAATGTCATTGCCGATGAGTTCCTGGATTATGGGCATTTTCCATGAGTTTCGATTGACATTGTGCATGATAACGTTGAGATTTGTGATTGGTGTACTTGACTATTGTGATTTGATGAACTTGATACTTATGTTAGTTCACACCTATGATTGACATACTTGATACTTGTGATTGATGAATTGTAACTGTTAGACTGCGATTATGGAAACTTGTGGACTGTATTTGTAACTGTTAAACTTACTTGATTTCTATGTTGATTGTAGTTGAGGCAGTTCAATTAGGATGAAAGGAGTACTTGTATTGTAGCTTAGTTTTGCTTTGTTTAGTAGGTTACTTGCTGTGTTTCGTGTATTTTTTATACTCACTCATTATTTCCACACTTGTGCAGGTTCAGAGCTCGATTATGTCTGATTGTTCTTCTTCTACTACTCACATCTGAGGGTATGTTTAGAGATAGCTGCTTTCCATTCTAGAGGACTCTCTTGATCTTTACTTTATGTTTTGTTCTATTCAAGAAACAAAGATTATGAAACCCGTACTTATCTTTCAAATATGTATTAATACATTAATGACTTGTAAACATAACAACCGTGTACTGGGGTTATGCTAGAATGACTAAGTTTTCTGCTCTTACATTATTATTCTCTTACTTTCTGCGTTTCTTTCGTATTTTTGGGTTTGAGGCTAACTTGTTTTGTTGGATAGATGAGTTCCATCACGTCTATTTTTGGGTCATGACAATATCGGATCAAAACTTTTACCTTGTGTACACCCAAAAGATAGCAGCTCCGAGTTTTTCTTTTCACTAAATGAATCGATTTTTATACCTTATATTTCAACCTAATCATATTATATACGCCAATTATTAAAAAGTTAAAAAGATTATATCATATGTCCTTTCAATTATATATATAATGAATAACATTTTATGATTTGATTGATTATCGTTAAAGGATATTATTTTCATTTCTAGTATATTTTTTTGGGTTAGACTAATATATATAAAATGAAAAGTGTTTCATTAAGTAAATAAAGTTTAATACACGATAAAGTAATCTCAATCATTGTTAGAAGTAGAAAATTATACATTCTAAGAAATAAACTAGATGTAAATTAATATAGTTAGTTATTACGACTTGCTTTAAAGGTTCAAAAATAAAAAATTAAAGTCGAGTGTAACAATCTTTCACTTTTCATTCATATCATATTCAAAACTTAAACAAAAAATATTTAATTTTATTTCGATTAATAGCCTATCACAATCTTCCTTCTTTATCCGCTATTTAAAAAAAAAGGCAAAGGGCAAACTAATAAATATTTTTTCCTCCTTTTCTATGGTCCCCTACCCATATTGAAAAGTTTAGAATTTAAAGTGCTATATTTTTGTGAGAATATTTGGTTGCCTAACATTTATAACAAACAAATAAATTATTAATGTTATATATAATTTTAAAAAAAAAATTGCATGGGATCTCACTTCAAAAGCTATTAAAAAAAAAGGAAAATTACATGGGATAGCAAACATTTCTAAGTAATTATATAATAAGGGTATAGTTTAATTTATTTACTTTCTATAATTATAGTTTTTTTTTTGCTATAATTAATGGGGTCCACCACCTATTCTTAAACCAATAGTATAAAAACATTTTTTTTAAATTTGTATATAATTTTACACAAAACAATATTATCTCTCCTATTCATATTCCACCTTTTTCTCCTACAATAAATACTTCTATCCGATTTGAATTTCAAACTGTCAAAAATTCAATTCCTCCCTCCCGAAGTTGAATTCAATTTTCGCAGATACTCCTAAATTTTAGTCGTTTTCCTTATTTTTCCTTATTCAACAATTGTATATGTATTGTGTTTCTTATGTTTTTTCATATTTTTTGGGTCTAAATAATCGATTGTTTGTTCTTATTAGATCACAAATTATTCACAGAATGAATGAATCATCTTCATCTATGAGGATTACCAGAGGTATTCCATTGCATGTCAATTTTGTATGTGTCTGTAGATTTGATTATTTTATACATACTTTAAGTTATGTATAATGAATAATATACTAAGTTTTAATAGTGGTAGTAGTGGATTGTATATTAAAGGCTCCATATTATTTTTATTTTTGTATACATATACAAAAAGTAATTGGATTTAGTTATAGAGATGAGAAAATTTCATATATGATTATAATTTGTATATTTTAGTAGTTATATACAAATTATTAAAGTTTGTATATATTAAGTTTATATATTATTGTAGTGTATACAAACTCATTTAGACAGTTGTATATATTTCCATGTTTAACTACCATATTCATGTACACATATTAATATACAAAAAAGATAAGTTTGTATATGTATACAAAAGAAACGCAATTACAAATGTTTCTTTCTAATATACAAATACTACATCAAAAAAAGTATATAATTGTATCATATGAATTTTCTTCTTTAAATTTTTTTATATTTTTGAAATAAGTTTTCAAAAGCAAACACTTACGTTATGGCTATATACAATTATCACAAACGAAAAGTATATAATTATATCCTACGAAAAGTATATAATTGTATCTTATCAACAAAAAGTATATAACTGTATACTACGAAATTTCTTCTTAAAGAATTTATATATTTTTGAAACCAGTTTTCAAAAGAAAAACACTTACAATATGGCTATATACAATTATCACCACAATAACGAACGCACATACATCAAAATTTGTAAATCCAATAGAACATTGTATAAATATTGCAATAATAAACATGAATTTTCATCCAATGAATGATTACCTGTATTCAATTATAAAGAAAAACAAAAAAAATCGATGTACTGCTGTTTCATAAATAGCAGAAACAAGTTTATCTTGTGTTTCAATTGCTGTATACTTCTTATTTTTTGAAAAAAAATGAATTTGAATGTTTACCTTAAATTATGGACGTTTACCTTAAATTATGACATTATCTAAATTTATTGTTAGCATATTTAACGCTTCAGTTACAAACCACTTATTATAAAATAAAATTATATAAATAAAAAACAAAAGAAACCTTATATACAAAATTAAAGATACCTAAAATAACTAAACTATACCCATAGAATGTAATTAGTTAAACTATACCCATATAATGTTATTTAATCAATTAAGTTTGCCATATATGAAATTTTCCTATAAAAAAAAGGGTCTTAATGGACCCATAAATGACCCAAAAATAATCAACATTATGGTTAGATGTCAAATTCAAACACTAGCTCCTCTTAGTTATATGATATATCTATCTATCTATCTATCTATATATATATATATAT